TTTGAACTATGGTGTTGGAGAAGACTCTTGAGAGTCTCTTGGACCACAAGGAGATCATACCAATCAATCTTAAAGGAAATCAACCCTGAATATTCATTGGAGGGACTGAGACTGAGACTAAAGCTCCCATACTTTAGCCACCTGATGCAAAGAATTCTCATCAGAAAAGACCCTGATGTTGGGAGGGACTTCCTTGATAGCTCAGTTGGTGAAGAATCTACCTGCAGTGCAGGAGACCCTTAATGTTTGGGGCATGAAAATGGTATGACATATATTGTAAAGCTCTTATCTTTTAGATTGGAGGTATAGCCTGAAGTATTGACATTAGAAATAATGAAACGTTTGCAATTTGCTCTCAAATATTCCAGCAAACACACACACACGAAGCATGAGTTGGAGAGGAGACAATAGCAGAAACCCAGTGATTTTTAAAATTTTATTTATTTATTTAAATTGGAGGCTAATTACTTTATAGTATTGTGGTGGTTTCTGCCATACATCGAAATGAATCAGCCACGGGTGTACCGGTGTTGCCATCCAGAGACCCCCTCCCACCACCCTCCCCTCCCATCGTCCTCCCCCTCCCATCCCTCTGGGTTGTCCCAGTGCGCCAGCTTTGAGTGCCCTGTTTCATGCATCGAACTTGGACTCTATTTCACATCTGGTAATATACATGTTTCAATGCTAGTTTCTCAAATCATCCCACCCTCACCTTCTCCCACAGAGTCCAAAAGTCTGTTCTTCGTATCTGTGTCTCTTTTGCTGTTTCGCATATAGGGTAGTCGTTACCATCTTTCTAAATTCCATATGTATGCATTAATATACTGTATTGGTGTTTTTCTTTCTGACTTACTTCACTCTGTGTAATAGGCTCCAGTTTCATCTACATCATTAAAACTGATTCAAATGCATTCTTTTTAATAGCTGGGTAATATTCCATTTTGTACATGTACCACAACTTTCTTATTTATTCATCTGCCGATGGACATCTAGGTTGCTTCCATGCCCTAGCTATTGTAAACAGTGCTGCGATGAACATTGAGATACGTGTGTCTCTTTCAATTCTGGTTTCCTCGATGTGTATGCCCAGCAGTGGGATTGCTGAGTCGTATGGCAGATCTATTTCCAGTTTTTTAAGGAATTCCCACACTGTTCTCAATAGTGGCTGTACTAGTTTGCATTCCCACCAATCGTGTAGAAGCTTGGTAATTTTTTCAGACTGAGGGTTAGGTCCATAGGAAAATGTAAGGTCAACCTAAGGAGTTGGAACTTTATTATGTAGGACTAGGAAACTTGTGCAGGGTTTGGGACTGATGAGGAGGCGTGAGAAAGGTTATAAGTGGCCCAGAAAGGTTACCCTGGTAACTGAGTGGGACATGGTGGGTGGGGAGGAGGACTCACCATGGGAGCCCATTTAAGATCTTGATTAAGATGGTGGCTATGAGAGTGGAAACTTTTTTTTGGAGAACAGAGAGAGGAAATAATGGCAAAAGAGGAACTCTTTGGTGGGTTGGCAGTACAGAGATGAATCAGGTGCATAAGATGGGGAAATCCCCTTTTCCTCTTCAGTCAGTGGCAATTTTCATCCTTAAGCCGCTGCTCTGAGTAGTATGGGACAAGGAGAGCAAAAAAGGGGTCTTTGTTCAGGAGGAGCTGAGCCAGGTCTTCATGACTGGCCACAGTGGAAAGCAGTGGGGAAACAGAATTCTCAGGTTCTTTTTGTTTATGTTTTGTCTTGTTTCTTGCTCTTTTTCACAAGAGAATTAGTCTCTTCTAGTTTCAGTATGAAATTTAAAGATGCAGTGATTCATTTTGATCACCTTTCTGTTTTCATTGGGGAAATGGTGATAATCTTTGTCAGAGGTTCTACCTGAATCATTTATAATATTAGTTAAGACAGAGATAATATTGTTCATTTGTGAAATGGAACACTTTAGAAAAATGTAGATGATGAAATGATATGGTCTGGAGAAATAAAAATTGACCTATGGTAAATTAATGAAAGCTTGGATTTAAGTGTATAACTTCTGATTTGTCAAAAGCAAAAATATTCAAGATCAACTTCAGATTCAGTAGAAAGTAACAGCAAGAGATTAAAGAGAAATGGTAGTTCTCCAGCCCTCCACAGTCAGCGATAATTCATACTTCACACACAACATACTGATAAAGTTTGATATAAACAGGCCCTCCAAAAGGGAATACACTCGGAGAATAGTTTTCTGATCACATCTGTTCTCTTCTTTTTCAAGAAATTACACTTCAAACTGCGGTCTGTAAAGATGGGTCATTTCCTATGATTAACCCCCCTCTTCTCTTTCTCAGTTTAACATACCTATTTATTTTTTATTTTTTATTAGTTGGAGGCTAATTACTTTACAATATTGTAGTGGTTTTTGTTAACATACCTATTTAGAGAGGGCTGAGCTGAGGTAGGAAGAAAATATTGAAACACCCTGCATTCTTGACCTTATTCTGCAGCAAGAAGGTCGGGGAACTTTTGAGACTCCCTACTAGACTTCCATTCAATCCACCCAAGCTGGCCTCTGTTCTCCTAGCTTATAAAGGCTTCCTAGGTGGCTCAGTGGTAAAGAACCCGCCTGCCAGTGCAGGAGACATGGGTTCAATCCCTGGGTCAGGAACATCCCCTGGAGGAGGAAATGGCAAGCCACTCCAGTATTCTTGCCTGGAGAATCCCATGGACAGAGGAGCCTGACGGGCTACAGTTCATGAGGTCACAAAGAGTCAGACACAACTGAGTGACTGAGCGCACACACACACACCCTCTAGCTTGTACAATCAGAAAGGAGCAAGGTGTGCTTCTGGTTTGGGTCCAGTTAAAGTTAGAATTTCTAATTTGTGGTAGCTGTTGTAAAATGCTCTCGGGGAGGAGAGAAAAGGAGAGGAAATTTCCTAGCTAAAAGCAAGAGAGATGGTTTTTCTTTTGCTCAGGAATGCGTAGCTGAGCTGTTGGGTCTCAGGAGGGCTGGAGATGGAGGGATGCGTGGTTATGGGTCTTGTTATGGAAAAGGTTGAATAGGCGCCTGATGGAAATGAGAGGGAGGAGGCCACAGCAGTGTGTCTAACAGCACTGCCTCTCTTATTGCATTATCAGAAAAGATAGATAACCTGAGAATAGTCTTCCATTATCTCTCTCTACAAAGGGATTAGTGCAGGTTGCAAGAAATTAATGGCTTTTGAATTAGCACAGAAATACTAATGAATGTCAGGACCAGAGATGTAAAGTAGGTGAAATTAGCTTTTCTCTGCTGCATTTCTCTCCTTTTCTCTTTTGGTTTGCTATTTTAAGATCTAGATCTGTGTTACTCTTTTTTATTTTTTTTTCCATCCAAGATCAGAAATCCTACCCCTTTGGGAATGTGATTTGTCTTCTTTAGGGAGTGACTCAATTAGTTTATGACTGTCTCGGATGTGTCAGCAAAAAGGTTGAGAAACATCTCAGAAATGAAAAACTTTACTAGGGAGGAGAGCTACCTCATTTTCACGCCCGATGAAAGTATCAGGACATCTCCCAAGTGACAGTCCCCTTTTATTAAAGTATGACATCTGTATCTATGGCAGCTAATCATTAATTTAAGATGGCATGACCAGATGAACTTGTGGGGAAGAGGGGAAGAGAAGGGAAGGGAGTTACCCCTACTATATGCTGGGCATTATGCTAGAAGTTTATGTTCTAGAAGCTTTATTTCTATTCTGATTTTACTAAGTACCCACTATGTACCAGACGTTGCACTATCTACTGTGATATAAGGATGTCAGGACAGACCTCGCCCCTGTCCTCCATGGAGCTTATAGTCCAGTACGGAAGACACACTTCTTTAAAAACATCAGCATTTATTTTGTTTGTTCAGATATCTAAATAAGTTATTATAATACAGCCTGAGAAGAGCCCATTAGAAGAGAATAATATAGTAAGGATCCCTGCTACTGACCCAGAGGTGTGTGTGGGCAGACTAGGGTGTGGGGTTGGGGGAGTCAGGGCAGACTCCTTCTAGAAGAGAGGAGCCTTGAGTGAAGGGTAAGTGTGTGGTAGCTGGTGGAAGTGGCGGAAGGGGCACTGCAAGTGAAGTGAATAGCGTAAGCAGATTCAGAGAGGGGAGAGAACGGCTATCCCAGCAGACACCTGAGAAGTAAGCTAGCTGAGTCATGTCTGGAGAGCTGGTTATGAACCAGAAGGCCCCTGGCCTGGCCTTGAAGACTGATGGGTGTGTCTGGGAAACGGGAGCTTGTGAGCAGCACACATCACGCTCTGTTCTTTCCGCTGGCCCTTCCTGTCTTTACCAACCTAAAGAAAGATGAGTATTGGCAGGGAGTCAGGTCAGATGGCAGGAGGAGCATTCTTTCTCTCATATCTGGTGCTTTGTAGAACACTGGGCTTCCCTGGTGGCTCAGTGGTGATGTATCTGCCTGCCAATGCAGGAGACGAGGGTTCGATCCCTTGGTCGGGAAGATCCCCTGGAGAAGGAAATGGCAACCCACTCCAGTATTCTTGCCGTAGAAATGCCATGGACAGAGGAGGGAGCCTGGTGGGCTACAGTCCATAGAAGTCGCAAAGAGTCGGACATGACTGAGTGACTAACCAACAACAAAAGAACGTTACCTAGAAAACCAGAAATTCTGGCAAAAAGTGGTTGTTTCACGGGCCCACGGAGCATAACCCCAGTCATTCCAATGTTTCTGTTTTCCGAATGGGCTTCTACCTGTCTCATTGACAGCAAACCCCCAGCCGCCCAGTACTTACTTTTGCAGTCAGAATTCCACCCTAGTTAAGTTCTTCAGATGTGAGGGTTTCCCTCAATTACATCTTGTTGGTTAGACACTCTCTTGGAATTTCTACTACCTCTGTTTAATATTGTGTTTGGTTGGAGCCAGCAGGTTAGGCCCTGATCTGCTTGTTTTCTGGCGCCCGCCTTGTCATCTCATTCAGTTCATTCATGTTCATGGATTAATACATTACTTTTTTTTTTTTCCTTTCTTTCTAGAACACAAGCCGGCATTCCCGAACATCCTGAAGAAGGGTTACCTGGAGATTCGGAAAGACCATGACAGTTGCTGGCAAAGCTGTTACGCTGAGCTCTCCCCCTACAGCTTATACTTCTACATTCTCGACAGCAGTGGGAATCAGAACCTCTACGCCACGTACCAGCTGTCCCACTTCCAGAGCATATCCGTCCTGGGCAACCTCGAGGCCAGGCTGGTGGACACCGTCCTGGAAGATAACACTCAACTGCAGCTAAAGGCCGAGTCGCCCTGGGAGGCTTTGGACTGGGGGCAGAAGCTCTGGGAAGGTGTGCACGCCGCTGCACCAGCCCGCATGGGCCGGCCGGGAGAGCGGGCCGACTCCCCGGGGCTTGGCCGTCACGTCGACTGTCCACAGAATCATTGTTTACAGAGGAAATCCCGCGAGCTGCTCATGCCATCCCCTGTGCTGGATAGCCCCAAACAGTGTCAAAACATCCTCAAATCCGGGACGCTGTACAGGCTGACCATGCAGAACAACTGGAAGGCATTTACGTTTGTGCTGAGCAGGACCTGCCTGATGGCCTTTCCGCCAGGCAGGCTGGACGAGGACCCCCTGCTGAGCTACAATGTGGACGTGTGTCTGGCTGTCCAGCTGGACCACCTGGACGACTGTGACTCTTGCTTTCAAGTCATCTTTCCCCAAGACATCCTCCGCCTCCGTGCTGAGACGCGGCAGAGGGCTCAGGAGTGGATGGAGGCCCTGAAAACTGCTGCCAACGCAGCAAGGAGTTCAGAACAGAACCTGCAGGTCATGCTGAGGACCAAACCCAGGGATCAGCTGGGAGGGCACGAACTCAGGAAGAGCAAACGCCAGTCGGTGACCACTAGCTTCCTTAGCATCCTGACGACTTTGTCCCTGGAACGAGGGCTCACCGCTCAAAGTTTCAAATGTGCAGGTATGAAACAACATTTCAGCCTAAAACTCATTAAAGAACAAAATTCTGAATCCCACAAGTGGAATTCACTTGAAAAATCCCTTTGAGAAGCCAGTCCCCGATACTTCTTGCATCTCACTCAGTCGTGTCCAACTCTTTGTGACCCCATGGACTGTAGCCCTCCAGGCTCCTCTGTCCATGGGATTTCTCAGGCTAGAATACTGGAATGGGTAGCCATTCCCTTCTCCAGGGAATCTTCCTGACCAGGGATTGAACCCGGCTCTCCCATGTTGCAGACAGATTCTTTACCGTCTGAGCCACCAGGAAAGCCCCTCCTTTAAGGAGTTTGCTGGGTTAAACCATCTCTCCATCTTCATACCATGCTGATGAAGTAAGTAGAAGCAGCTATGATCTACCCACTGAATCAAAATGACTCGGCTGCAGCATCAGCAGGCTAGAGTGTAGACTTCCTGCATCTGCTGTGATTTCATTTCCTCTGCCTTCTTAAATCAAGGTCACTGGGAATGTAGGATGTCTTCTAAGAGACATCCATGCCCAAAGCTGACTGCTGGCATTCTTTAGGTAAGGAAAACATCCATAGTCAATAACTGTCATTGATCATGACCTTGTCAGATTCTGTTAAGGTAGAGTCCAGAAAGTCAGCCTTGATAGAGACCCTGGAGGTGGCCAAGTGCAGGGTGATGATGAATGAGCAGGTGACCTCTGAGTCACGATGGGCCAGGCCCTCATCCTCAGGACTCCTAGGGCTGCCGGAACTGCTGTGGAGGGTGAGACTAAGGTGCAGGCCAAGGCCAGTCATCTGGTAGTCCTTAAATCCCTATTATTGCTTCTCTCCCCTACTCACCATTCCTCTCACCTTCCCGCAAATAGGAAACTGGAAAGCACACACCCCTCACTAAACCAGGTCTGTGTGTCTACTAGGAGTGAAATCAAATTATTCCCCTTTCACTGTGTGTGCTTGTATGCTCAGTCATGTCTGACTCTTTGTGACCCCGTGGACCGTAGCCCACCAGGCTCCTCTGTCCTTGGGGTTTTCTAGGCAAGAATACTAGAGTGGGTTGCCATTTCCTACTCCAGAGGATCTTACCAACCCAGGGATCAAACCCATGTCTCTTGTGTTTCCTGCATTGGCAGGCGGGTTCTTTACCAACTGTGCCACCTGGCAAGCCTTTCCCTTTGACCAAACCCCATGCAATTTGTCACAAGAAATTTACGACGGAGGTGGCTTTACCTGGAAGCCTGATTTGGAAAATTTCAATTCAGGTGGATCAGATTTAAGTACGTTGTTTAAAAATGAACAAGAGACCTGCCACCAGTCAAGAGCAGATTTTCAATTTCATGCCTCTTCCTGCGTTCAGAAAAGTGGTGGCACAGTGAACCTTTGAATTTAGCTTAGTTATGATGGTTGCCTCTTCTATTGAAAAATAATTTACTCAAAGTGGGGATTAAGTGAATCATCCATGCTTTGTCTGGAGGGCCTCAGTAGCTTGGGAGCAGACACTTGCAGGGTGGGCTGGGAGAGACCAGCAACTCCGAGCCAATAAAGAAGCCAGACTAGGTGAGGTGCACACATCTGCAAGCTTGTGTGATCTTGTATTAAGTCAGCCAGCTACTTTCGGAAAAGGTTTTTGAGATAGGGAGATGCTGGTTTTAGCACAGTTTTTAGAAATTATTGACATTGCAGTGTCTTCATATACTAGTGCATATATTATATTTCAGAGTTCAGCCAGTCAATAATAATTTATGAGTGCTTGTTCTGTGGATGCGCTGGAATTGTGGTGCACGTCTGTGGCTTTAGACTGCTGAGGAGGGCAACAAATCTGCTGTGTTATTGGAATCGGGAAGAACAGCTCAGCTTCATTTTCAAGGTGGAGACCGGAGTATGAATCGGGAACTTCCTAGTAAAAGAGGGAAGAAAAGCCTCAGGTGTTACACAAAATGATCCCTTTGTGGCCTTCTACTTCACCTTCCTGTCCTAAGTTTGCTTCCTGATGGAGTGTGCCCTGCATACACCTTGCGCTGCCTGAGTAGCATCTCTGATACCCAGAGGAAGGAGAAGTACAGGTGGAGGCTACTGTTGGGCAGGTATACCACATCTGGCAGATGGAGAAAGGAGAACAGGAAAAAGACAAGAAAGGTGAGTGGAAGAGACAGGGAGAAGGAAGCTAAGTGGAAAAGAGTAGGAAAAGGATGACGTAATGGGCTGGGATAGGACCTGGAGCAGCTTCTTCGTGTGTGCCTGCTAGGCTGCTTTAGTCATGTCTAATTCTTTGTGACCGTATGGTCTGTAGCCCGCCAGGCTCCTCTGTCCATGGGATTCTCCAGGCAAGAATACTGGAGTGGGTTGATGTACCCTCCTCCAGGGGATCTCCCCAACCCAGGGATGGAGCCTCTTATGTGTCCTGCCGTGACAGGCGGGTTCTTTACCACTAGCACCACTTGGAAAGCCCCAGAGCATCTGCTTTAGGGTCCGTGTTTTAGGATGCCACCCTTTGCTGTGTGAATCATGCCCACTGATTGGCGGTCTGGAGAATAGGCTGTGGATGGTGGTAACAGGGACCCTGGAGACAGGGTAAGGTAGTCTAAGCGTCCTTTGCCTGCTCAACTTTTACCTTCTTGCTTTTGGTTTGGAGTACTAACAGGGCACAAGTAGGTTTCTCATTTGGTGAGGGGAGAAGTCAGTACAGTGTGGCTGATTCTCAAGTAAAATGTTTAATTTCACTTCATGGCCCCTCTTCCATCAGAAACAGCTACGCTCAGTCGCTGTGTGGTACACGTGGGTTATGGGTGGCTTTGCATTTTCGCTAAATACCTGTGCCCAGAATACTGGTTTCCTATCTCAGATAGGAAATACTCCATCTCCTGTAGGGGGCAGAGTCTCAAAAGAAAAAGGCCCAAACTTGGTAAGCAAACCTGAATGTTTTTTTAAGTTACTTAGGAGGCTCTTCTTTATATCAAAGATTATTATAGCAGATGGAACTTGAAAAATTGACCTATGTCTCTCACAAACACAGTTAATCTAAACCAGCTGTTTGTGCATTTAGTCCTTGGGTCCCCTAGCTTTTCATCTTCATACAAACATGCATTCAGTGAAAGAGCTGGTTGCATATAGCATGTTTACCTTCCAAGCTGTCAAAAAGTCCAATAAACTGTTTTTAGTTGAATCTTGGCTTTCTCTATCATTTTGGGGGAGAAGCTAATTGACAGTATTTCACTGTTTAAGTGGGCCTCTTTAGACTATAAGTACTTATGTCCACTTGGTCCCTCCCCCTTTAAATATTCCTGATGAATAAACTTTAACAGTGGAAGATTGCGCTGAGCAGGTCTTTATCATGATGTCATTCGGTTGCTATTCGGGTGAGCCACAGATGTTGGCTTTTAAATCTACAAAATGGTGCAGTTGGCCTCATTTCACTGAATACTTTCTGTAGGTGAAGAATTTTCTATATCCTTTTTAGAAACTTAAAGAGCCCCGGCAGAGAAAATGGACCCTGACCATCCCCAAATGCCTGAGGTTACGGTTTTGAAAATACATGCTTGCACATAACTGTTTATTTCTTAACATGCGCTTGAACTTTTTATAGTTGTGTTTGATTATGTGTGGTTTGTTACATGGCTCCCTCTCCAGCTCCATGGATGCTAGGAAACCCAGCAACAGTGGTCTTCCTGCTATTCTGTAACCTATTCTTGCTCATTCATGGCTCCAAGGCCCTTACACATACTCTTCCTTCTTTCTGAGAACATGCCTTTGAAAATTAAATTCTTCCATTCATTCTGCCATTTATTGTGTGCTGAGTTTCTGACCACATGCCTGAACCTCAGATGTGCCTGCGAGGAAGCCGACATGGTCCCTGCCCTCAGGGAACTTGCAGTCTCCTAGGGAAACCGACATTAACCAGATTCATCACCAATACCAGATTCATCACCAATGCCAAATGGCAACTGTGAACGGAGCTGGGGAAGCCAGGCCCACAGGTCAGATTCGGGAGCTGTCAGAGGTGGTGCCAAGTGGAAGTCTGTGAAACAGCAGACATTGTGTCTTTTCTGACCCACAAAAAAGGGCAGTTTGATAAGGTTGAACTTCATGTTTGACCCTGAAGTCCCAGAAGGTTCCTGGGCAAAGGAGCACACGAGGAAAGTGGTATTTAGGAACACTTAATTTGCTAGTGCTTTAGTACAACTTTACAGAAGCACTTTAGCAGAAAGTAAGGAATGCTTCTTTAATGAAGTCACTGGTTGGGATTCAAAATTATGTTTGGCAATAGAGCATCTGTAGTGTTAAAATATTAATGCTAAAACAAATGACTGTGCAACTTATTAAGATATTTATGGGGTATGTACCTGTAAGTGGTTCTAAATGAGGTCATTCACAAAATGCTGTATAAATTTGATTATAAAGCAGTAGCACAGTTTTCTTCAGGAATTAGAAAATGTGTACATACCTATTTCCCCTCAACAGATACTTGATTTCCTGGCAGTGATATATACAGATAGTTTTCCTGTAATTTCCCAACAGTCAAGAAACATAGCAGTTGAGTGTTCTAATGAAAGAGCTCAGAGCCTTGTTTAGAGATGTGGCAAGAGATGGCAACACTCATTTGGAGGTGAAATCGGATGGCCCACTGTGGGGCAGTGTTCTTGATTGTGAACCAAAATTGAAAATGTTAGCAGAAGAGACAGCAAGAAAAACAGTGAGCTGAGGGGGGTCCCCTCCACCATTTCACACTGTCAGTTTTTATGGTTTTACTCCTTGGGCTGCTGTTTAACCTCTTAGGACTGCTGTTGGTGATTACATCTCTCTGGCATTAAGAGCTTTTTGCTTTCCTTTTTTCTACCACCACCCCCCCAGCCCTTGGGAGGGGTAAGCCCAAGGGGTGGGGGGAGTTTTGCTGTGAATTCTTCAGCCATTTAGTGCAAATTCCTGTAATTACCGGCATTGTGTCCTCTCTGAATGGCACATAATACAGCAGAAGCCATTCCTAATTGAGACCTTAGAGGAG